CCCCCGCCGCACAAAGGGTGTTCGGCTTTGCCGTCCGTCCCCGCCGCACAAAGGGGGTCCGGCGTTCCGGGAATGCCGGACCCCTTTGTGCTGTAGCCATCGAGGGGAGGGGACGGACCCACTTCTTCCCCCGCAGCTCAAAGGGGGTCCCCCTTGGTGTTGTTGCCATCGACGGGGAGAAAGGGGGCCCCTTACTCTCTCGCAGCACCGACATGGGTCCGGCGTTCCGGGAACGCCGGACTCCGATCGGTGCTGCTAGAGGGAGGGGGAGGGAAGGACATGAAACGCCGCGGGGTTCCGTCGACGATGCGGGCGAGGGAGGGGTCCGGCCGACCACCGTGCCGACAGGCACGCTGGTGGGGTCTGCTATTTTGGGGACGCCGGACCTGCACACACAACGGTCGTGGGCCTAGAACGCCGGACCCGCTGCGTGGGGCGGTAGCGAAACTCCCGTGCCGCGACGGATGCTTCTTCATGTCACTTAGTGTTGTTTTCTTGTTGTCTTTTTCTGTGCGACCCTTCAGGAAAAACAGTGTCTGGCTCCGCCCCCGAAAAACAGTACGGCAGGTCTAAGCTCTACCACGACAAACCATGGACTCTTGATTGGGTAGGTGACCTTCATATGCCGGGTTGCGGAGCCGTTGTCTTTTTGAGCGATGACAATGGCCTGAGTTGATACTGCTGCGAAGGGGTGGAGAAATCGGAAGCGGGGAGGTTTACCTACGACGGCAGGAAGTTCAGGACCTTCTTCCTTACGTTTGTCTATGACAGAGAGGGGAAAAACAGGGTCAAGGAAGACAAGAAGGTGTCTCTTGACCATCGGCTCTTCGAAGGATATGGGGTCAAGGCTTTGTCGATGAAAGCGTTTGACGTGCGCGGGAAGTTCCAAATGCTGGATCCGGAAAAGTTTCTTTCCAAAACCAATGGCTACCGCGTGACTGGTTCCCTGCTTGTCGTCGACAGCGCTTTCATGCTCAGCAGACCTTTGGTCCAATTCAACAGCCCGACGGACCAACTCGCAGATTCCGTTATGCGATACAGGGAAGAATTCGCGAGGCTGTCTGCTGCCCAACAAGTTGACCGTGTTTTCGTGCCGATTGACGTCCCGTCTTCGTCGGCTGAGGGGCCCAAACGGCGCCAGGATAAGCCGGCCAGAGCGGGTGGAAAGAGGAAGCATTTGCCGACTGCCCCGTCTTCGTCGGTTGCGGTTGTCCAGGCTTTGCTCGCTCCGGTTCAGCCCTCGGATTAGCAAGGTCGCGATGCGGCCGAGCAGTCCAGCGAGGCCACAGACTACGACAACGGAGTTGTGCGCTATCAGGCTGGTCCCCAGCATCGTTCCCGGGGAGGTGAAGGTGCCTTCAATGACGAGGAATGCGAGGGCCAAGATGGGGAGGGCGGTGGTATGGATGGGGAGGGCGGTGGTGAGGAGGGGGAGGGCGGTGGTGAGGAGGAGGAGGGCGGTGGTGAGGCGGACGACGGTAACGAACGAGATGCTGAAGGTGAGGACGATGGCATGGACGAGGAGAGAGACGACGTTGGTGAGGAAGTCGAAGACAATCGCTCCTCCCAATTTCACCGTCGCCACCAGAACGAATCGCGGGGGCGCCGTGAGGACGACGCCTGCCGCGTCGGTGACGCGGTCGATGCTGGTGGCGAGCCTGCAGCCTCCCGCAGAATGTCGCAGTCCTATGACCAGACAAAGGATGAGAGAGACGAACCTGGCTCACGGGGAAAGCGAAAAAGGGGAGAGGCGTCGACCTCTCCTGCGAGTCGAACAAAACAGGCGAGGGCCGACGCCGTCAATGAAGCTCGCGGAGCGTTGACTACATCACAGGAAGCGCGGGCTCCTCGGAAAACTGGTGGGGGGGGGCGAAGTGGCAGCCGCGGGGGTGGTCGCGGCGGCGGTAGGAAAGGCTCGCAGATGTCCAGGGCACCTAAGCTGCGGGACTCGGGGGATGAGGGCGAGGGGGTGGGGCCTCGCATGCCCGAAGACATTGAAGAGCTGGTTCAGCACGTCGCGCCCGTGGACACGACACGATGTTTCTTCCTCGAATACGACCAACAGGGCTTCGCCAGGCAAGACGTCCAAGTTGTTAACGTCGACGTTAATAGGATCAAACCCCTTCCTCGTGGGAAGATACTTTTTAACCTCCGTTCGTTGTCTGAGAACATTGTGAGAGGCATCGAGAGTGCCATAGAAAGCTCCATCAGTGCTGACCCGGTGGTGTGGGATAGACCTGAGCTCGTTCTTGCGCCGGTTGACCCCAACGTCATCGTCGGGGGCAGGGAAGGCGAATCACACTAGACGAGTTCTTCCAAAGAGATTCTGCAGAGTTCCACTGGTACGCTGTCTGCGGTCAGCATACTGCCGAGGCCATGAAACGGTTGGCTAGAAAGGACTCCCCTGCGGTCAAAGTCTACGCCCTCCGCACGTACTCTAAAGTGCGAGTCGTCTTTTTCGATGATGACCACACACGCGGGTACTTCAATGTCTCCCTCTTCGACAACACACGGGAGAATCGCGCTATGATGTTATCCTTCCAGGACGCTGTGCGTGATATGCGGTAATGGTGGATCGACAACAACAGGATTGAGGCACCCAAAGCTAAGGTCAGCGAGAAGGATGCCGTCGCCGTTGCGCATTAAAAAACGTGGCAGAACTTCCTGAGGGTCTGCATTGGGAAGGCGTGCGACAAGGCGTTCATGAAACAGGCACTCGACAACGAATACAACAAGGATTGGAGTAACAAACTTCGGGGGTTACGTGAACCTTGCCACGTCCACCCGCACGGTTTGGCCGCTGGTCGAGAAGTTCTTCGCGATGTTCGAGGAGGTTAATCTGCCAATCGGCGACGGCAAGATCCTACTTGAGATGCCAGGGAGGATGGAGGGGCGCCTGCCCGGCCCGTACACTAACGAGAACAAGGGACAACGGACTTTGTACCACTGCATATATGCGAGAAATGGTCCCAAACGCTCCACCGTGTACAGGAAGAATTTGTGTCCTACGTACTTCAAGAACTTCGGGGACATGACATGCCGCGAGAGAGAAGTTGCGCTACTCCTGCTCATGTCGGGGAAAGTGGTGGCAACAAAAAAAAGAGTCACGCCTCCGAGGGTGAACACAGAATGCCTCCTCGACATTATGCGCAAGGAGAGATACATGGTCCGCATGTTCAACTACGTCGTGTTTCGCGCCGAGGGAAGGGCAGGGGACGAATGGAACGACGACTTCTTCATGTCGTACAAGGACCTGGAAGAGAGGTATGCTTTAAACGGGTTATGTGGAGATGAATGGGAGAAGCCACAGAAGAAGCTACATAGCAACTTAGTGAAGACGATCCCTCGGCGACTTGGAGCAGTGGAGGAGGCGAGGCAAGGTGCGGGCTTGGGACCTACAGAAGTGATGTACAAGGAGGCTCCGTTTCACTTCAAGGTCTTTATATACACAACGATCGATAAACTCGATATGCTTTGAGTGGAGGTGAAACGGATCGCCTCCAGTGCACGCCATCTTGTGTGGGACAAACACGGCAGGCAGACCACATTGCTTCCTGTATGCATGCGGTCAAAGGAGGTTATGGCGGCGCCCGTCGACATCGTCGCAGCCGCACAAAAAATGGCATGCAGGGCCGTCATCGTGGACATCTCGGCCGCGAATTTCAGCAGTGCATGAACCTCGCAGGACTTCGATGCACTGTACGCAATGATGGCGAAGTGTTGTGGTCCAAAGTGGGTCCTCTTCTTCTTTGCACCGCAAAATGTGCAAAGTGATGTCTTGCGTCAATTGTACCGTTGGGAGGACATCGAGATCATCCCCGGGTCATTGAAACACGTGGACAGGCCGCCGAGCGACGTCACAAGGTACGGCAACATCGCTACGAGCAGTCGCGACCTGATGGCGATCGTGTTGCACGTTGAAGGAGGGGATCTGAAAAAAGTAACTGCCCTACCCCGACTTCAGAACCATCTCACCGAAGTGCATGTTGTGGAGGAGAAGTTTGGGAAGTGTCTCGGAAAACACGGTGGCGTTGAAGGCGACGAAAGTGCCGCATATTCAATTTGGGAGCGAGAACCTGGCAAGTTGCGGAAGTTGTGCAGTTCGTTCGTAGGAGAGGCGGAAGGTGTGCTTTTGCTGGGTAGGGCGCACGCGGGTCTTGTATGAAAGTTCTTGCTTACAGGTAATAATGTCATTGCCTGTGACGAGTCGGTCAAGGACATTGCATACTTGACAAAGTTCGTCGACATACTTGTTAAGGATGGGAGATTCGAGTGCCACCTCGAGAAGCTGCGTGCCACACATCGCACGAACAGGGATATGTACCACAAGTTGGGACCGAAAAGACTGAAGGTGTGGGAATACCTGTTCCGCGATGCCCCAGATGGACGCCTTGATGGGGGATACATATATAGGAAAGCCAAGGTGACCGAGGCCCTCAAACATTATCACGGTGCTCTAATTGGCGCCTTTGAGACATTCGTTGCTCGATGCGAGATCTTGAGGTTTGATCTTCACGAAGATAAACTGACGTTTAAGGACTATGCAGACCTCGCTAAATCGGGTGAAGGCTTTAACCCCGTTGACAGCGAGGAAGACTCGTCCGACTCCGGCCTCGAGATCGAAAAGGACACCAATGCAACCGGGTGGTGTGGGAAGTCCGCTGCCATGAAGCACATCGTGAAGGGATATGGACCGGGTCAATCAAAGGGATGCTCGAACCTGCCACCCGCGAACAGTGTGGCCTCAGATGTGGACCGAGTTGTATGTACGCCTATGGAAGACGACGAAGACGATGACCTTGATATTCCTGCTCAACCAACGAAGCTGGCGCCGGGCGATCCGATTCCTTCTAGATTTTGTGCGGATCCAAACAACGTGTATTTCTTGGATGACAAATACTCCTGCACTACTGAGGATAAGTGGGCCCATGATATCATTTGGCATGACGGCATTTTCGAGCCATGTATCCAAGGCGGGGAGTGGAAAAAGGCGGTGAAGTATGTCTCGAAGGGTTGGAGACCGTTTGCCCGCAAGGGAAAGGACAGTTGGCTGAAGACGACGGACCAATCAATACTATACCGCTGTCACAAAGAGAATCCCGGGGAGAGTGAAACATCCCGATTTAGAAAATAAAATATATGATTAAAATGAGAATGCCGAATTACAAAAACGGAATACCGAAGTGAAATCGGAATGCCGATTTAAACAGAGTACTGATTTAAACCTAATTAAAATCAGAAATCCAAATTAACAACAAAAAACGGAATGGCGGATTACCCAGAATGTATTTAATCGGAATTCGAGGTAAACAGAATACCGGATAAAATAGAAATCCGAAGTGAAAGTGCGAATACCGAATTGAAAAGGAATGCCGATTTAAACAGAATACCGAAAAATATAAAAAAATTGCAACTTTGAATCTCGATAGTAATGCAGAGCTGATTTGAAAGATTGAGGAAACAATTTATTCCTAACTCAGACTTACTTGGTGAGCAGATCCTTCGTTTGGTCTGCTCTGATACCAAAACTGTTGCATACTCGTGAATACTTCAACGAGTATGGGGCAGAACCAAAGATCAACCAATATAGGATGAGCATGTATGCAGCGGAAGTCTTGATAGATGGACTGACTCACACAGATATCACTCCACACACAAACAATCGTGAGATGGTGAGGTCTGAGCCAATCTAGGCCCCGTACACACATACACAGACGAAAGGTGGGAGAGGAGATGAAGAAGGTGGGAGATGTAGGTAGCGCCAGATGTCACCGAGATAGCATCCAGTAGGTCACCGATATGGTAATCCAAAATGTCATCGAACAAGATAAAATGTCGTGGACAATAAGTCGCCAATATCAGAGGTACAGAGTCCCAGTGTAACCGGTGTCCAATCTGTGATACTGCCGAGTATCAACCCCAACAATCTCCAACTCTCGAATCCGGTAAGTACCAACGCCTCTTACCAACGAGGTCCAACATTGATTTCTATGCAACTAGTATCCAGTATCCAGTCTGAAGAAGAAGAAGAAGAAGAAGAAGAAGAAGAAGAAGAAGAAGAAGAAGAAGAAGAAGAAGAGATGAGATATAGGAGGAGGAGGTGAGGAAGAGAGGAGCCAGGGACTGTGGAGGGAGGAGAAGACCTCACACCCGGATACCAGGTCCGTCGCAACTGCCTGCAGCCGAAGTTGGTGATGGCTGTCCGCTATCTGGCTGCTCTCCTCGGCGCTGCTGCTGCGCTAGCTCGCGCTGCTGCTGCTGCTGCTCCTGCGCTAAGAGTAGCGCTGCTCCTCAACCGATATGCACTGGCATGATGCAAGATGTTGGTGGCTCGATGCCTCTCAATGAGGCTGGACCGGTCTTTAGTACCGGTGGCCGAGAGGCCGGCCTCAATGCTGCGAGGCCTGGACGCGACCTGAATCGTCGAGATCGTCGGTTCAGATCCTACCGGCGGGCAGCAGCCTCAAGAGCGCCGCTAGGCCCAAACGGTAATGTCGTTTGGGCCTGCCCGTCGGGTCTGGTCCAAAATACAGCCTTTCGGCCTGCTGTACCCCAAGTCCGGGCCTTTAGGCCCTACTGTGTCCCTCAGGCCCTAAGTCGGGTCCGGTAGGACCCGTGTGGCGTCGAATATGTAACACATACTTTTCCTCAAAAGAAAAAACACAGTCGGCCTTTGGACAGTCCGTGTGACACTGTCCTTTGGCTTTTCCCTTCGTCGTCGTCCTTGTAGACCGTCAACCCTATTTCGTTTCTTCTTTTAGGCTTGGTAGAGAGACGCAGGCCAGGCTATATGCTACGAATCCCCCTCGGTGGCGGCCTTCCACGGACAAGTCCGCGGCCGCGGCCTAGGCCGCGACCCCGCGGACGTGTCCTCGGCCATGAAAAAAAAAAAAAAAAAAGAATTCAAAAAATTCTGAAAAACAAATATGTTATGCAGAAAAATATACTGAACAACTTTTGCCTTGTGGTCATATCGAAAAACGTTACTGAATTTAAAATACAAAATCGCATACGTTTCATGTTTTTTTTTTGGAAAAAAAAAAATCAGCTTTTGCCTCAGGAAAATTAGTTTTTTAATTTTTAAAATTCGAAGTCGAAGTCAAAAAATGAAATACAAAATTGCCCAATTTAGATCTCGAAACGTTCTACAACCCCATATTTTTTATTTTGTTTTTTAATAAATGTTTAAGGTCAGAAAAAAATCCTGAAAGTCGCGTCCGCACCCAACCGCGGCGGCCGTGATCACGTCCGCCCTCCGAGCTTGACCCCGCGGACGCATCCGTGGGTGTTTCATAGGCTATATGTCCGTAGATGGAACGGGGACAGACCTGTGGACTCGTGGGGTGTCCCTCGATGGATGGCTAGGATGTGTTCTACAATCTCGGGCTAGGGCCTCGTTTCCCTAGCCGCGATATTCCGTCGTAGAGCATTCTTCATTACTCGGTTCGCATTTTCTACAAGGTCGTTCAATTGAGACATATGAGGTGCGGTGTTCCGAATGGAGACAACATGTGGGACTAGGCTCCTGATAACTTCCCCCCAGAATTTTGCACCATTATTCGTTAAGATCTACGTATCCCTCGCGGACATGGCTGCGGGGTCAGGCCCGGAGGGCGGTTATGTTCATGGCCGCATCCGCGGCTAGGGTCGGCCGCATAGAGGCCACGTTTTTCACGGATTTTCCCCATAAAAAATAATAGGCAAGAAAAAAAAAAAGGGTTGTAGACTACCTTTCCCGGGGCGCTCGGCCGGCCACCCCGGGCACCTCGACTGGGTAGGTACCTCGCCCGGGGTACCCCGGGCATTAAAAAAATCCAGCGATTTTTTTTTTTTTTTTTTTTTTTTTTGGTGTACGGGCTGTCTCTTATACACATCTAGATGTGTATAAGAGACAGGTGTGTGTGTTTGTGTTGGTGTACGGGGGTTTGCTGCGCTTGCCAAGTACGGCCCAAATCCGGCCTTGTTTTTCATTTTCAGGCATATTGGTTTCTGTGTGTTGGGGGGTGGGGGGGGGGGGGGGGAGAGAGGAGGGAGGACTTCGGGAGGAGGAAGGAGGCAGGACTATGGCGGGAAGAAGGAGGGAGGAAGGGGGACTAGGGCAGGAGGTACGAGGAGGTAGGAGCAGGAATCTACCGAAGGTAGGAGGAGGTAGGAGCAGAAATCTACCAGAGGTAGGAGGACGTAGGGGCAGAACTCTAGTGAACAAGGAAAAAAGAAGAAGAAGAAGAGGACTATCGCGTCCCAGAAGGACCATAGAGAGCAAGAAGAGGAATAAGAAGAAGATCACGAAGAAGAGGAGGAAGAAGAAGATAAGGAAGAAGAAGGCAACAAGAAGGAGGGAGGGAGCCTATGGAGGGAACCTATGGAGCGAGGAGGAGGGGGAAGGGAGACTAATGGAGAGAGGGAGTCCAAGGAGGGAGGAGGACGGTGAAGAGAGACTAATGGAGGAGGAAGGGGGAGGGAGTCTATGGAGCGAGGAGGGAGGCTATGGCACACGGAGCCGAAGCATAATCAAGCATTCCCACACAAAAAAAAAAGATGATGATTTGTTGATGAAGCGCTATGGCGGAGGAAGAAACAGTGACTCTGAGGAAGAAGACGAGAGCAAAAGCAGAATCAAAAACAGAAACACAAGAAGAAGAAGAAGAAGAAGAGGCGGCAAGAAGAAAGAGAAGAAGAAAAAAAAGAACCGATGAAGAATAAGAACAAATAGAAGAAGAAACGACGAGGAAGGAAAAAAAAAGAACACGAAAAAACAATGAAGAAGGAAAATAACATGACGAAATGGAGGAGAAAAAGGAGAGGAAGAAGAACGTGACACCCCTGGCAGCGGATCCTGTGGCCTCGGTGGCAGCCGAGGAGGCCGACCGGGAGGCCTTGCGACCGAGTTTCCGTGCGGCTGCCCCAGGCCCAGGCGGGGGCGCACGCGGGAAAGACACCCCCACTAGTGTTAGTGTTGCTGATAAGAGCAGACAACACTAACACTTGGGGAGAGGCTCCATCTATTGGTGGGGAGCATCACCTGCTGGAAATCGGGCGCAAAGTCCCAGTTTACAGAGAGACAAAGGCAACATTATCGTACATTCCCTCAAAAGAGAAAACACAGTCAGCCTTTGGACAGTCCGTGTGTCCTCTGGCTTTTCCCTTAGTCGTCGCCCTCGTAGATCGTTGACCCTATTTTGTTTCTTCTTTTAGGCTTGGTAGAGAGACATAGGCCAGACTATATGTACGTAGATGGAATCGGGACAGACCTGTGGACTCGTGGGGTGTCCATGATGGATGGCTAGGATGTGTTCTACAATCTCGGGCCAGGGCCTCGTGTCCCAAGCCGGGATATTCCGTCATAAAGCATTCTTGATTACTCGGTGAGCATTTTCTACAAGGTCATTCGATTGACAAATATGGGGTGCGGTGTTTCGAATGGAGACAACATGTGGGACTAGGCTCCTAATAACTTCCTCCCAAAATTCTGCACCGTTACTCGTTAACATCTATGTATCCCCCGCGGCTGTGGCCGCGGGGTCAGGCCCGGAGGGCAGTCATGTTCGTGACCGCATCCGCGGCTGGGGTCAGCCACACAGCGGCCACGTTTTTCACGGATCAGCTGGAAAGTTTGTTTCTGTAACTTCGTCCGAACCCAACTATACTCTATACGTTGGATGTGTCTGAAGCCTTAAAGGACCTTCAAGGTGATTGGTCGTCAAGGGACCCTCGTGAGTCTTGGGCTATGTATCCCCAGCGGCCGCGGTCACCACGGGTATGACCGCGGCCCACGGTCGCGGCCGCGGGGCCTCGGTCATGACCGCTGCGGGCGCGGTCGAAATTGGCACGCTGCGGCCAAGGGGAGGGGGGTCCTGCTGATCGGGGTCGAAAAATGGGAACATTGAAAAAAAAACGAAAAATTAAAAAATG